TAGCCTTTCACTTTTTGAATCCAATAAACATATCAAATTTATTTTTTAAAAAATAACATAAGTTTTTAGTGGAGTCATTAATGAAAGTGACATAATAGCGTGAGCCTTCAAGAGAAGTTACGGAGGTCGATCCCCATACATTAGTATGCACTAATTCTAGCTTTTCTTTCTTTAAGAATCCATCAAACTTTAGGAAATAGACTCTCTTATGCTTTTCATAGGTACGGGACTCACATAAGCCATCATCAATATGTTTCAATTCTAGTAATTTTCTCATTGATGCTAAGCACTTCAAACCCTTTCACTCATGTGCCTAGGCCTTTGATGCCATCATATCGAATCACCATCACCATCAAAATTAGCTATTGCTATGGTATCTCTTATTATAGTAGTCGTATATAAAGTTCTAACCTTGCTACCATGTGCTACAACCATATTCCCTTTCATTAATTTTTCGTGATCTACTCCCAAATAACCAACGTCATCGAGTTTACTCATAGAAATCAAATTCTTCTTAAAACATAAAATATGTCTAAAAATATATAGTTTCTATTGTATTATGTTAGTAGTTTTGAAACTAACATCATATTTCTCTATAATATCTAGAGGTTTATCATTTACAAGATAAACCTTTCTAAAATTTCTTACAACATATTTCTAATAGGAAATCTTTACAAGGAGTAAAATCAAATGACGCACTTGACTCTAGAATCTTGGACTCAATAGGACTATCCACATGATAAATTAATGTATCTATAATTTCATTAGTTGTTATATATACAAAGTCATTATCCTAATTCTTCTTCGTCTTGGGAGTCTTACACTCGAATTTTAAAGTGTTATTTCTTGTAACAATTTTAGGAAATGATCTCTTTATAGTTTTTAGATTTCCCTCTACCCTTTTATTTTGATATTGTTGAAAGTCCATTCCTCTCGCTATTAAGTACTTAAAACAGAACCTAAAGGTTCTTCGACTCACTCATATGAAGATCTTCATTGAATATTAAATCTAGAACATCATCCAATTTTATTTTTTCATTATTTGATGAATTGTTTACCACTTTTACCATTCCGGACTAGCTATCGGGTAAAAAACATAGCAAAATCGTTGCCTTAACTTCATCATCAAACATAATGCTTACCGACTCTAATTGATCGATCAATACATTAACTTTATTCATGTGATTACTCAAAGGCGCACCCCTACCATCTTCAAATTGAATAATCGATGCATAAAAAATACCTTATTTGAGACATTTATCTTTTCATACATATTTAACAGCGCCATCATTAGATTTGCTGTGGTCTTTTCTTTCACGATGTTAAAAGCAATGCTTTATATTAATGTTAGTCGAATAATACCAAAAGCTTAGTGATCCAATAGAACTCGATCGAATCTTTCATCCCCTCCGGCTTCTTTCCTATTAGGGGTTCATGTAGCTTCTACTAGTTAAGATATTCTTCAATCTGTATCTTCTGAACTCAAAGTCTTTTCCATCAAACTTGTCGGTCTTCACTTTTTTTCTTCCGCCATCATTCCTCCTTACCTCACTAACTTGGGGCTTTGATACTAGTTTTTAGGAAATGAATCAAGCAAATAAAATAAAATAAAATAGAAAGATAAAAACAATCACATAATACAAAAATTTTACATGGTTTGGTCACGATTGCACTATGATTTCTTATTAGGTTTTGTCAAGTAGGGAGACCACCATACTAGATTTGTATAACGTCTTATACTCGCGATCCTCCGTTTACAACGAGTCTCTATAGCTTAACAAGTCTTTTATAATAGAGTAAATTATAAATTAGTCCTTCTAGTTGTGCAATAAGAATTAAATGATCTTTTTTGTTTTAAAATCTAATTAGTCGATCTATTGCCTAAGATTGATCATTGTTAATTTAATATTATTTTATTTAAAAAATATCTTATTTTTTCATCAAAATTTTCATATTTTTTATTTATTAGAAAGAAAAATAAATCAAAAAATAATGAAATGATTAATTTATAAATAGATTTAAAAATATAGAGACTAATTAATTAGTAATTAAAACTAAAGGGACTATGTCATTCCTTATGAAAAAACTAGAAGGACTAATTTATAATTTACTCTTTATAATATTATTTTTTCTTTATATACTTCAAATATAAAAAATGCCATCGCGTCGGAGAATATAATGTAAATCATAATAAACTCTATAAAATAATATGCTAAACATGAGAAAACCCCACCTATTTTAGTTTCTTTTAATTTATCTAATCCTTTTTCAACCTTTTGTTACAAAATCCTTAATAATCAAGGTAGATACAAAAGAACTCCAAATATAGTTTTGGCTACTACAATAGAGATGTTATTAGACATAGCTCCAATAAAGTTAACTAGAGTCTTGTCTACATAGGATGATGATGGCATAAATCCTTTTACAATCATAATAGAGGCTACAAAGGTAGAAGTGAAAGAACCAACACAAAGAAAGAAAATAAGTGATGTCCCCTGTCTCAATGATTATGGAAGCAAAACAAGTGCAATATAAGGTCTGGGTTTAGATAGGCTTATAGTCTAATAGAGGCTAAATACCATGCTATAACTAAATAGAAAAAGGATAAATACAAGTTAAAAATATAAATGATAGAAAACCATTATTGTTTTTAGGACCTATTACCAAAAGCCTATACAATAGTAGATAAACATGACAGTTTATTCATAAAACTCTTTTTGTTTATGATACTCTTATCAAGAAAAATACAAATATTAGACTCCAAATGATTGCTCACATCTATTAATTGATTTAAAATCATATGGACTTATCTTCTAAGGTTGCAAGGTGTCTAGATCTTGCTTTATTATTGTTACGATATCTTCTCTTTTCTTAATATTAGACTCTGTTAGTGTATTTGTAGTTTTACTAATAGCTAACATTAGTTTTTTTTTTTTATGGTGATTCGTTATCAACTCTATTTTTAGTTTATGTTTATCCTTTATCTATTAAGTTAAAGCCCGATACTTAAATTTTATCAACTTACGAGCTTCCTTGAACCTATCTTCAAGCTAATTATGTCTCTCCTTAACCAATATACGAACAAGTACATCAACTACTCCTTAAGGTCCCGTTGATTTTCCTTCGTCATGCACCGATGTGTCTTTTGTAGGGGGTGACTTTTGTCACTTTCATCCCAAACCGATGGGACTCTCTATGTTACTCTTTTTTATGCTATCTAGAATAGCACTCATACCGTGATTGTCGGAAAAACTATTACGGGTTCTTTTATGCCGCTCTCAACTAAAAAACACTTTGTAATAAAAGAATGTAAACGATGATTGAGAAGCATTTTGCAAGACAATCAATCTTTCAATTGTGAAGGTAGATGAACCAAATCAATTTTGTAATATAAACTACTGCTAATCCTAATGATATTTTTAGTGTTTTATGTTATAAAAAAATGAAATTAAACTAAATTAAATGGACTGCAATAGGTCGGAAACCTTGGTAGGGAATCATGACCGTCACAATTGGTTAGGTTGTAGGATTGCAAGAACAATAATTTAAAATAAAAGATACTGAAATTAATATTTGAGATTTCTATCATAACATCCAATCAAAATGAGAAAAATTAAACTAAAAGCTAAAGGGTTGAAAGATTAAAATGCTACAAACTACGAGTCGTAATATGAATAAAAATGTGAAAGAACTTGAAAGTTTTATAATACACTACCGCAATTGTTATAAACATTTCAAACTTAAAACAACAAATTTACAATCAAATAAAATTTTAAATATTTACAAGATAACACTCTAGACTCGACAAATCTTGAAGGAACTAAAAATGGTGATTGTTACAAGCGAGTAATAAAAGATCAAGAACAAACTAATATCCTAAATAGTATTTCCTATTAGATTACAGACTTATAAATTACCACCTATATATTATTGTCCACAAGCTATCACTTATAAATTATTGCCTACTAACTATCGCTTGATAAGTTTCAAGTGTGAAACTTATGAAATTGATCCTTGAGCTATTTGTAATGTACAAGAGTTTGCTTATGTATTGTATTATTGTCTCGTTTTTCTTGTTTGTTATAGTTGTTATTTATAAACTTCTTAATCCTTTATGATCTCGTATGGTGGATCACTCCCTCCGACTCATGTTATAATTTTCTATGTTTTTCTTTTTTTACGCCGCAATTCACCATGTTTCTTGTCCCGTTATGTTATTCTTGTACTCGCAATCTTTCATGTCTTTCTAACTCGTTTAGATCTTGCTCTTATTGGTACTTGAATTCTATTATTCTTTAACTACATTTACATTACTTGTTGTTGATCACTTTCGCCTTTAAAATATAACCTTTCCCACGTTTTCCTTCAACTTTGTTTCATTGAGAGTCTTTCTTCTATCTCGTTTCTCTTTCGTATATTGAAGGGTTTTTTTTATAGTCTTGTCTAGGCTGATTTGTTGAGTCAAGCACGTCCGTTGGGCTTAATAAGTTAAAAATAGCTTTTTCCGAATAAGAAATACCTAATGGGCCTTTAAGGAAAGTCCATTAAGAAGAACACATTGAAGTACTCAATAGGTTTAGTACATCTATTTTATCCAATTTATTGGGCCAAGACTCAAAATTAATTTGGGTATAGCAATATGCAATGATTCTATATTTCTATTGAACCTCAAGCATATCTTAAATAGATTTCCAAGAAATATAAAGATACTTCAATAATTAGCCAAAATTGGAATGCAAAGTATGGATCAGAGGGATTGTGTCTGTGAAAGGTGATGTTTATAGCTATGGTATTTTGTTGATGGAAAAATTTTGTAAGAAAGAAGCCCAGAGATGATACGTTTCTAGGAGAAATGAGCTTGAAAAATTAGGTCAAACAATATTTACCCGATTCAGTCGCTTAATCAGTTATTGATGCCAACTTCCTAAGAAATGAGGAAGAACAATATGCAGCGAAGAAAGATTATGTAACCTCCATTCCTTTTGTAACATCTAATCAAAATGATGATAAGGAAAGATATGAATGTTGTGGAAGTAAATACTGGTAAAATGTATTTTAGACCTAGTCTCCTTGCCTTATTGGATCCTCAACTGGTTGTAGGTTTCCAAGATTGGAGTTGCATTTCTGGTGGACCACTCAATAATTCATTTCCCATAAATGATTGTCTTGAAAAGTTTGAAAATGATCCTCCTGTAGGAATTTCTCCTTCTAGTGTATTGAAAGACACGTTAAAATACGTCAGATACAAGATTTACTGTAAAGACTTTGGAATCACTCTAGAAAGGCTATTATTTGACAAATCAAAGAATTCCAAGCTCATGAGCTCACCAGATGATGAAGGAATAGGTCCTAGAAACCTGTTACTTGACAATGAGAGAGAAGCTAAATCTATGAGGTCCCCAACGGTAAGTGGGATATCACCTGATAAGTTATTCCCTGACAAACCAATCTCTCTCACCACTTTCAAATTTACAGCATTTAATGAGAATGAGCCAGCTAAGTAATTCCATGACAAGTTCATAAGCAGTACAGCTTCAAGCCTCCATAAGTTTAAGGGTATCATAGAAGTAAAACTGCTGGAGCCTAGGCTAAGACTTCTCAGATATATAAGGCTACCCAAGCATTCAAGCATGGATCCAAAGAGCTCATTACCTGTAAGTGATAAGTAAGTTAATCTCTCCAAAAGACATAACTCGGGTGGGATGAATCCTTGCAATTCATTGTCTTCAAAACATAAAAGTTGGAAGAGAGACATTCTTCTAATAGATGTTGGTATAGTTCCAATCAACTCATTGGTCCTTGGGTCTAACTCTGCTAAGTTAACTAAGTTCCCAATTTCTCTGGGAATGTCCCCTTTGATATTGCACTCAGGAGTAGAAAATACTTGAAAGGAACTAGAGAAATTTACAGTAGAAATTGGAAGACTGCCCTTTAGTGGATTGCCTGCAAATCTTAATTGTGTCAACTGTTTACGATTTGTCAATGATGTGAGAAAACTCCATTCTGCATATCTACTTGTTAGGTAGTTTTCCTCAAGCTAGATCCGCTACAGGTTTCTTCAATTGCCAAACGTATCAGGAACATAGACAAAGAATATGTTAGAGTCAAAATCTATGATTGTGAGTTGAGAAGCATTAGACAGTGAACTGGGGATGGGTCTAGTGAGTTTATTTCCACCTAGGAGCAGCTGCTGAAGATTGGGAAGCCAGAGGCCAATGGTGGATGGAAGATGGCCAGAGAGGCTATTGATGGCAAGTGCAATGAGTTACGTTGTTGAGATATTAAAGATTACAGTTGGAATGTTTCCAATAATTCTATTCACTACGAACTGAAATATTTCGACTTTATCTAGGTTGCTAATCTCGTCAGGTATTGAACCTACCATAATTTGAACACAGTTCATTCACATTCTTAGAAATTGAAAAAAAAAATGAATAAAAGTATTTTTTAGCCAAATTATATTGAATTTGAGTTGTAAAACATCCTCTACTGCCTATAAGTCCAAGATTATAGGCCTTTTCTGTGCAATCATAACCCACAAAACCACCATTCCCCAAACCAACCATATAAAGGCCTAATAAAACAGGAAGTGAAAGGTGATATACCTGTCAAGTTGTTAAAGGAAAGATCAAGTAGCTTCAGCTATGTAAAGTTCCCAATAACAAGAGTAATAGACCCTGATAGACTTTTTTTGTCAGGCTTAATGTCTCTAAGCTTTTAAGATCACCAATTTGTTTTGGAATTGTACCTGTAAATTGTAATCACATTTTGCGAACATAAATAATACTCCATATCATTTAATGAAACTAAAAGATAAAGCATAAAAATAAGCACACTTTTGTCAAACTGATTTTTGGAAGTTTGAATTTCCAAAGTAAAAGATTGTAATTGCTTATGTACCCGAAATAAGAACTATTTCGTTGTCTATTTTATGAACATGTAAATTGTAATAGCAGAACATCGTTCTTATCCAATCTGCTATGTCTAAAATTTAAAAGCTATATATGTTGAATTTAGTGACCTTTCTAGGACGTAAGAATTCATTTTAAAGCAGCTAGCAACTCTAAGGTGAAGTCCAAATAATTTGAAATGCATACAAAAATAGCAGGACATACCTGTGACTCTGTTCAAGCCAAGAAATAAAGTTTTGAGCATGGTCAAATTTTTTATATCTGTAGGAATACTTCCTTCAAAATGATTATTAGACCATGACAAAGTTTGTAACTGTTGGCAATGGAATAAACTTGGTGGGATTTGACCAGAAAACTGGTTCCAAGTAAAATAAACTTCTTTTAAACTAGAAAGATGATAAAACATGTCTGCTGGGACAGGATCTGATAGGTTATTAACAGAAAAATCAATCAATCTGAAGGAAGACATATTGCAGATAATGGGGGTATGGAACCTAAGAGCTGGTTGTCACTAAGATCAATCATTTGCAATGAAGCTAAGTTTAAGATGGTGGGAGGTATAACACCTGAAAGTTGATTACGGTCCAGATATAATTCTTTCAAGTTCGAAATATTACCAATCTGCTCGGGGATAGAACCTCAAGTTTATTGGCAGACAAGTCTCAAAGTCTCTTAACTTTGGTATATGGCATACTGATGGTGGGATAGAGCCTATGAAATAGTTACGATTAAAAAACAACCTCTGAAGTTCAATGAAGGACCTAAACCATGGTGGGATCTCCCCACTGAAGTTATTGAATGAAAAGCTTATGGACTTCAAGCGATACAGAGTTAGCCAGCTCAGTAGGTACCTTCAGCTGGATTAACCAAGGTTCATACTTGGTTAGTGTACATGGATTCCATTTTGGATTGTATAGTTTCATGCTATTTCTTGGAGTCAATATCTAACATTACTTCTTCATAGGTATTAGGTTCATCATCCTCTATAGGAGACACATCACCATGTTTAGAGACAAAAAGATCACACCTTTCTAGCTCTTAATGAATTCGTTTAGACCTACAAAGTTCTTTTATATCAATTTATAAGATAATTATAACACTTTGCGACTTATCTACGTAAAGTTTCACTAGTGAAGTGTTAATTTGTGAGTCTACTCGAATCTTATTGAGTTCAACTTTCTCCTACTAGTTCTAACATCTATAAATTCCTTCTAAAGCAATACAACATGCCTAGTCATGAACATTTTTTGGTTCTCATGGCTAGTAAAATTAATATCCATTTGTTTATTTTGGATATCTCATAAATTTACACTTCATTAATTTAGGCTCTAACTTGTCTCTATCTAAACGTTTAACATATGCATCGAGCCTTAAATCTTAAGAAAAAATACAAGTGTTTTTTTCATGTCTATATCTCGTATGGAGTTTGATCAACGGACTTGGTTAGAACCCTATTCAATATAAAGATTGTAGTAAGAAGTGCATATTCTTAAATGAAATAGAAATATCGGTAAGATTCATCATGGATCGAACCACGTATAACAATGTCCTATTCCTCCTTTTAGACACACCATTAATTTGTGTTGTTCCGAGTGGAGTCCCTAAGAGAGAATCTCATTCTTTCTTAAATGATCTAAAAACTCGATGCTCAAATATTCACCACCTTTATTAGATCGAAATACCTTAATATTTTTATCGGTTTATTTCTTGACTTTAAATCTAAATTCTTTGAACTTTTAAATGCTTCGATTTATATGTTATTAAATACTCATAACCAAAACGTGATCTATCCTCGGTAAAGGTTATGAAAAATCATGTCCTCTTTTTACTTGAGTGGACATGGGCCCACATACATCGAATGTATAAGGCCTAACAAATCAACAACCATTTCTCATTTTCTATTAAAAGGCGATTTTGTCCTTTTGCCAAGTAGACAAGATTCACGGACATTATAAGATTCGCAATCAAATAATTTTAGATATCCATTTCTATATTGTTTGGATATTCAATTTCCATTTATATGGCTAAGTCGACAATGCCACGGATATGTTTTATTTAAATCATTCATTTTGAGCCTTTTTTCATTTATGTTATTTATTAGAGTTTCAATGTTCAAAACATATAAACCATTATTAATAAAACCATTTTTATAAAAAAAATATCATCTTTATAAAAAGAAAAACCATTATTCTTAACAAAAATGAAAAAGCTTATTAGTCCAAACAAGAAATGGAAATAATATTTTTAGTGATAGCAGGAATATAATAACGAGCTTTTAAGTATAAGTACAAGCTCAAGTGGCAGTTCTAACTCGAGTGGTGTCTACAACTAATGGTACGACTCTCGATCTATTATCAACGCAGAGGTTAACCTCCATAAAAGTAATCTTTCTTGATTCTCTAATCCCCTACACATTTATACAAATATGAACAACGTATCCGAGTATCAAATACCCATGAGGTGAGATTAGAAGCGAGAAAAGTAACTTCAATAACATAAACATTAGAGGTGCTTATAGAACTCTTCTTTTGAACCTCTTCTGGTACTCCTTTCTCTTTATCATATAGAGCATTTTCTCATGTTGGAAGACATTTCTCGGATTCATTTTCTAGTCATGGAATTTTGTTTCATTCAAGGCATCACTTCGTTAATCATTGACCTCATCGATATATTACCAGATCATACTATGCATAACCTTGACATAATAGAAAAACGTACGGTTTGATTAATCGAATTGCATTAATAAAATAAAACATAAATTAAGAATTGAAATCTATGTTCGCTCCTAGTATTTTCTTCAAGTTCCATAACCTTCAATATATGACTCAAGAAAAATTTTTGATTCGTTTTTCTTATCAAGTTGGGATACCATCCACTAACAAACATTAACCTTGAGTTATCTCAACGAGTCATAGATGAAGTAATAGGTAGGTAACTCCTTACCAATTGCATCTAATGTAACTCTAAATCTCATTAGCGTGATAACTCTTTATCATCTCATATCTTATGTCAATACCAATCCTTGTCTATAAATTTAATGGGTCATGAGTTATCTCAAGAAGCCCAATAATTCATCTCAAGTTAGACTCAAACATTCGAAAACATTACATGGCCCATGATTTGATTCCCTCGAGGAAGAAGTGACCTTAAGTTATCTCAACAAGTCAACAACGACAAAGACACTTCTCTCTTAATAACATTCATATAACTTATTATTTATTTTAAACATTTAATATGATGTGGTCTCATTATTTTAATCCTAGCATGCATACTAGAGTTTAATCGCATTAACATCATCCTATCATGCATATTAGATATCAATCACTTTACAATCACATACATCTCATACTTGACTTAAGAACCGATGAATGGTAATGGATCTCTACTACTAGTCACCTCAAGCCACAAGAAAACTAGTGGATCAAATACCTAGGTGAAAATTATTATAATTTTTTGAGATTGGCTTCTCTTCTTAACTCCTTCCTCTTGCATCTATTCTAATAATCTATCTTTTACTTTTATAATTCGTTGAATAACAAAACTTAAGTTACATTTGAGGGGAGTAAGATGAGAAGATAAATACATCGAGTAATAGAGAAGACAGGACACGCAAGCCCAATTTAACCAAAAATTTACAAGCATAAATTTTCAAAAACTAAGTCAACTCATTTATTCGATTCATCAATGCTTCAATCACATTGATACATGACATATAAATAAATAAAATATATTTTTGTTATAAAATAAATATGAATAATAGGAGAATTGAAAAAAAGAATGATAAGAAAATGAAATCACTATAATATGAATATAAGCGATAAGAAATTCAAAGTTTTTCTTATTCTCTCTAGGAAACTTGTACACCAACTAATAAACAATCAAGCCTATTTATAGGCTTTAAAATTAAAGAGAGAATTGGAAGGGACTATGAATAATCAAATGCATCACCCTTTCAATTTCTCATATTGAATGATGAATTGAATCATATTAAGAATCATGAGTAGTGAGGATATAAAAAGTGGATGAACATGATGATGGACATTCATTATTTCATAACACTTCCCCTCGAATGTCCATTGTACAAGGAACATGCCTCGTTAAAACCTTACTAGGAAAAAACCCGAGTGAGAAAAAAATCCTAATGAAGGAAAAAGAGTACAATATTCCTTGCACACGTTAATCCCTATTTTTGTGTCCTCCCGTTAAAGGCATTATTTAAGATATCTAAGATGACGCATTCCAATCTTGTGAATATTCTCAAAAGTTATGGTAGGTAATGCTTTAGCGAATAAATCTACTGGATTGTCACTTTGATGTATTCTTCCTTCAATGGAATTATGCAAGCAGTATTATCCTCATATGATAT